CAATCTACATAGACTTCTGTAAAGCCTTTGATTCAGTGGTACACGACAAACTACTCCTAAAAATAAAATCCTATGGTATCTCTGGACAACTGAATAACTGGATAGAAGCATTCCTGGCAAACAGACAACAAATGGTCAAAATTGGGAGCGTCCTATCAAATTCTGTACCTGTCAATAGTGGTGTCCCCCAAGGCAGTGTTCTAGGACCAACTCTCTTCATACTCTACATAAATGACCTCTGTGATCATATTAAGAGCAATTGCGTTCTTTTCGCTGATGATGTAAAGCTGTTCAATACCACAGACAATACTGCTACCCTACAAACAGATCTTGACTATGTATCAGAATGGTCAAACAAATGGCAACTTCAAATCTCAACAAGTAAATGCTCTGTCTTACATATTGGCAAAAAAAATCAGAAAATAAAATACAAGCTGAATAGTCAAGATCTTGTTGATGACTCAAGCTCTGTAAAGGACCTTGGAATACTCACCTCTAATGATCTAAGTGCTAGAGCCCACTGCAACTACATAGCCAAAAAGGCATTAAGAGTTGTTAACCTAATCCTACGTAGCTTTTTCTCTGGTAATATCACACTACTAACCAGAGCATACAAAACATTTGCTAGACCAATACTCGAATACAGTTCATCAGTCTGGAACCCACATTACGTATCTGATATTAGCACAATTGAGAAAGTCCAGAAATATTTCACAAGAAGAGTTCTCCACTCCTCTACTCGTTGTAGAATACCTTATGCCACCAGACTTGAAATTCTAGAACTAGAAAACCTTGAATTACGCCGTCTTCGGTCTGACTTAAGCATGGTATATAAAATCATACATTGCAATGTCCTACCTGTCAATGAATACTTCAGCTTCAACCATAACAACACAAGAGCACACAATAGATACAAACTCAAAGTTAACCGCACCAAACTTGATTGCAGGAAATACGACTTCAGCAATAGAGTGGTCAATGTCTGGAATACTCTACCCGACTCTGTAGTTTCTTCCCCAAACCCCAAAAACTTTAACCTTAGACTGTCTACTATTGACCTCACCCCTTTCCTAAGAGGCCTGTAGGGGGCGTGCATAAGCGCACCAACGTGCCTACCGTCCCTGTCCTATTGTTTCTCTTATTCTTTTATTTTTCTTATATGTACCCATTTCATGTATTCACAACTATGTATACATTTATACTTATTATCTT